CGGTCGTGTTATATCGAAACCGCAATCATGTTGTAAGAGTCTCTGAACTTGCTTCCATTCACACATTATCGTTCAACTGCCTCTTCATGGATCCGGTATCACACAAGCAGGATATCCTGATTCCGGATACTCGGAATAAGTTAACGAGCAGGGGTTGAGAATAGACCTGCTGGTGGTCGAAGAAGCTCATCTAGACTGATAAAAAGTCTTGTATAACGAAGTGAGAACGGGGATAGGTGTTAGTAGTTATTGATCACGGCTTCAAATTCTTACAAAGGCTGCGTGTACTGGATAGTTATGGCGAGTAGTCCCCGGATCTAATCATCAGACTGACAAGACTCCTGGATAGCAAGATCAAGCACATGTAGTCAGTCGCAGGGACTACACTGCACACTCCATCTTCACGTCGAGACACGATGCAAGCCAGCGCCCCCATATCTACAAACCCCATACATACTTAGTTATGTCATTGCGCTACACTAACAACACCAATACGTTCCCGAACCAAAACCGACACCGACACCGTCGATCCAACAAATTAGGAATAAGCTACCTCCTCTACAACTCCCCGTCCCCAGCCCCTTCTCCCAGGGTATGCACGGCCGTCGCCAGCACGTCCCTCAGCACCAGCACCGACGGCGCGAAGAAGTACTCGCCGCCCCGGGCCACGACCCACTTCTGGAAGCCCAGGTCCAGCGTGTTTGCCGTGGCCCCCGGGTCCGCGCCCGTCATGGACCGCGCCCCCACGTTGTCCGGGTCCACGATCTGCCCGATCAGCGGGTCCTGGCCCGGCTGCTCGGCCTTGTTGGGCGGGAAGGTGGGAGGGTTGGCCCATGCTGGATAGGGTCGCTGTTAGAGAGAACTGTATTTGTTGTTTTGGGGGTTGGAAGTTGGACGGGGTGTGAGAAAGAAAAAAGGAGGCGAGGGGTGGGTTGGGGCGAGGTCGGGAGGTAAAGACCAATAGGGAGGGGTAGGAAGTACTCAGGCAAAAAGGAGAAGGGGAGTAAAAGAAGAAGAAGAAGAAGAAGAAGAAGAAAACTTACACTTCTGCAGGAACTGAAAACCATCCTTCAGGCTGCTCTGGTAGCTCACGAACAGCAGCCCGCGGTCCTTCTCCGTGCGGCGATGTCTCCGTTCCGCCTCGGACACCTCGGGTCCGTACTGGATGCCCCGGCGCTGTTCATCAAAAAAAAAAAACCCTAGGTATCAGCGAGTCGTTATCCACTCAACCAGGGCGGATGGGTGGTTGCCTTTTCTTTCTTCACATAAGAGAACCCGCACCCCCCTTCCCCCCCTTGGGAGGAAGAAAAGAAGAAGAAGAAAAAAGAAAGAAAAAAAGGAAGGGGAAAAGGGAAAAGGTCACGTTACCAGGATGCGATGCGGGTTGATCCCCGTAGCGTTGTCGATGTCGCCGCGCGGGTTCATCTTGCGCACGTGCGCCGCGAACGGGCAGCGCTCCTGCGACGCCGGGTCGAAGGTGAACTTGTTGACCCGGCCCGCGTCGGCCGCCAGCGCCTCGTCGTCGCGCAGCGGCGTCAGCTCCAGCGGGGCCCCGGACTTCCAGCGCCCCGTCAGCCGGGCCCCCAGGAGCGCGGCCGTGTCGACGGTGGGGTCGCCGACGTCGGGCGCGTTCTGGACGAGAAATCTTTGCGTTGCGAAATCATTAGTCTAGTTCGAGAAACGGACGGAAAGGGGGGGGGGGGGGGGGGGGGGGAGGGGATTTTCCCCGCTTACCGGTCGAATTCGGGGACGAGCTGTTGTAGCAGCCGGAAGGCGAGGAAACTCCCGTCGAGGGCCCAGGAGGGCCGGTCCGTGACGGAGTCGCCCTCGCGACCGCAGAAGATCACCCTGAGAATCTGCTGTCAGCTTGCACCCTGGTCCGGCAAGGCTACTAGATACCTAGTATTCGAAGGCGTCCTTACCCGGGCTTGACGGGCCCCTGGCCGGACAGATCCTCGCCGAACCCTTCGACGACGGGGTTAGACAGGCCGTCTTCGAACCCGAAGCTATTGACCTACTGTTTCAGCTTCAGGGTCATAATTATCCGAGGTTATATATATATATCTACTGGGGGGAAGAATCCTTACTGCTCGTGACCCTCCTCCTTTCCCGGACGCACGTGCCCGGATAGCTTCAAGACCTCCCGGACGCTGCTGCGGCCGAAAACGTCCAGGATCCTCCCCAGACGCCTCTGCACCGAGTCGGCGCTGTCTCCGGCGACTACGATGACACCGTCGATTTCTCTCTGGAATTCAGGGATCCAGTCGGGATCTTGTGAGGACGGTTTCAGGTCGTCGCCAAGGTCCTTCGCGTCGGCGCGCTGGCCGGCGGCGAACCCGTCGTCCTTGGATTCGGCCGGGTTGAGTCCGAGCTTTGCCATTGTCAATAGTCAGCATCTGCATCTTGGTCTTGTGTCTCTTTTTTTTTCTTTTTCTTCTTTTTGACAAAAGGACGGATCGGATAGGACCGAGTGTCAGTGGTGTGTATATGCTAAGGTAGTTACCGACCTTTTCGAGCCCCTTGGCGGAAAACGCGATGTTCGTGAACGCCATCGAAACGAGGGTTGGGCCGGACGAGGACGCCCGCAACGTCTGGATCTCCTTCCGGCCGGTATTGACATGGTCGCCGGTCGTGATCAGCGGAACGAGCTTGACGAGGTCATTGCGAAACGCGGCTACGTTGCGGATCTGGAAGAAGAGAAACGTCTCTGCCTTCTTTGGGAAACCCGGTCTAGTTCCCGGAGGTCAGCCATACTTAAGGCTCTCTGGTGTTCATAGAGTGGATACTTACACAATGTCTCCCTGTGTATTCTTCAAGTCAACTGGTGAAGGCATTTTTCGCTCTATCGTTGTTTTCTTCTAGGGGTATATATCTTGAAATTCGCCTGTGAAATCCAGAGAAATCTTCAGAGGAGATAACTGGCATGATATACTTCTCGTAGGTTAGCCCAATGGCTTGGAATAGCCTATCCGCCCACTCTGGCCACCGATACGAAGTCTGTCAGGTCTAGCATTGCCTGGGAATAGGTCTTCATTACTGGTATAGATCGCACAAGGACTTTTACCAAGCCCATAAGCCGCCATGGCGGTCCTTGTGCAATGCAATTGCGCAGCAACATCATCACCAAGCCGCTATGGTGATGATTGTATGATACCGTCTGTTCCTCATTGGGCCAACAACCCTCGTCGTCTCGCGGCCGCCGAAGTCAGGTGGGTGCAGTCTGCTGACATGAATCTCACGGTGGATCTGGGTAAGCCACCACCCTCTCCAGTGCTTATTGAGATGATCAAGGTTCATGCTTGTAAGCATCATACCTCAGTAGGCAATTATTCGTATCGTAGCAGTAAGTGATTGGGTGTGGGGCAGGATTGGTCATCGTCGTGAGGAAGCTTCTCCGTAAACAGAACCAATCCGCGAGCTCGGTGAGAGGCAAGCCGCGCTGAAAGGTAGCGAATAGCCTTGCTTTTAATACCATCTCACATCCACGCAGCTCACAAGCCAAATGTAGCACAAGGTGGTCAGCTTTAGCCACCTGACGAGTCTAGATCTCGGTACTACGACTCGTATGACACGAGATCTCACGGTGTGCAACTACCGGTAAGGCGGTGAACCCGTGCTGAGATTTGTCCGCGTGTACTGTACCCGAGCTAGGGCTGAATGATCGCAGCTCTGGTGACTGCTGGTTGAGAGAAGCAGGATATGGTGTTACCGGCCGATGAGGGAAGAGGACAGGGGGATGGCGGCACAATTCATGTGGTCCCTATACTATGACATAGACAACCATATCTTTATGGTAAAATCCAAAACAGCGGGAGATAAAAAGTATTATCATTCTATGGTATTATCTCCTGTATTACTTGTCCATGAGTTAGCTACAATAAGGAAGTCTCTAGAGCTATACTTATCAAGGGATCGCCTGCATTGGTCCACGACAGGAGTGAATTTAAATAGCTTGACAGAGCAATAAGGAGAAATGGCTTTTATATCTATAGCTGTTAATCAGTGAAAAAAGTAAGGATGTTGCCCTCGAAGGGTTAAAGGTGCTTGGGTATGGTTTACGTTTCTCCTTTCGATCGGATATGAACCATGAGAAGAAGAAGAGAAGCCTATGTCAACAACTTGTAGAGAGTGACTAGTCTACTAACTTCGGTCAGTATGTGAGGGGAGAGAAAATGTGAACAATCCCAGTTGCCCTCTATCGCAGTTATGACGACTTCTGGCTGTTCCAGTAAGAGTTGACTAAATCGATGCATATACAAGGGTAACATAGGGAATACGTGTCTTCCGCCCAGCTTCCATTTAGCCAAGTTCTAATCAAGACTCGGGAATCACTTCTATTAACGCTCTCGGGATATGCTTAACTTTAACTGTCTTAAGAAACTTGCTCCCAAACTTCCCTCTTTATCCTTCACCTAGAATGCCTAGGATGTCGAAAATTTCAAGGCGAGACTGGAAGGTATCCGTGGTACTTTTGACACGGTTGGTCGCTAATATCACGACAGAGTTCATCCATATGTTACCAGATGAGCATTCAGAACCATAGCTTGGGAGCTAATTTAATGAAGTCTCCAATGTATTGCACAAGATGTTGGTTATACATATTCCCAAAGGCCGTCGCCCTGGCTATGAGATCCATGTTGAGCTGGGGCGTTTCAACGCATGTGTTGAAGTTGCTTCACGACTCCTTTCTTTCTCTTCCATCGTGATAATCTACTTTTGTGGGCACAAGAGTGACTTCGCCTGTCCCGCAGCTATGTGTCGCAGGAAACTGATACTGGTAGTCAATAAAGTACGACATAGTCTTCTTCTGATAACGCTGCGCGACGAAACACACAAAACGTCGATCCACAAGGGTTAAAAAAAAAAAAGAGGACAACCTGCACCAAGGCTCCACGCCAGCCCCCAAGACAAAGAAACTCAATATCCTAGGTAGCCTATATGCCCAATTACGAATATGGATATGCCATCGCAAAAAGATAAATAAAAAAGAAGAAAATCTACTCTCTGTCGGGGAATTGAACCCCGGTCACCTGCGAGTTTTTGTTTGATTTTGACAAGCAGGTATCCTAACCACTAGACTAACAGAGATTTTGCTACTTAATTGATGAAAGATCAAGCTAGCTAACGCGTACTAAGTAAGTATCAGCATCCACGAGTCAAGATGCCTGGATGCATCCCCAATTGGCCCGATCAGAAGAAAGCAACAAACAAGACCTCAAAAAACATGGCGCTGATATACGAGTCCTTGGCGATGAACGGACCCGATGGAGCACCAGCGATCCGACGGAGGGTAGGGCTCAGAAGAACTATGGTTGGGAGAGAAAGAAAAAAAAAAAGATCCATTCGTTCATTTTGAGGTTTCGTCATCAAAACGTTCACTGACCCACCAACTCACTATCTGGTTCATTCATTCATTCATCAATGCAACCAGCCATCCATTCACTCATTCATTTACTATTACTCAAGGCCGATGAAGAATTGATGCTCGCTGCTTGCTCACCTACCACCCATCCATCCAGCGCTGTCCTCATCATCAAACATCATGATCGAACACTTCTCCTTTCCTGGCCCCGACAGACAACTCAAGAACATCCGATGGGGGTTGGTGGTGGTGGTGGGTATCCGATTCTCTTGACTGCTTACAAGAACAACAACCCTTGGAATGAACTTCGGGCTCAATGGCGAAGCAGAGGGGAGAAGGTGAGAAGAGACACAAGTAAAATGCTGTTTGCAATGTACCAGAAATGCTTTCCCCCTTTTCTTCTCATCCCCTTCCTTCATTGCACCCCTCTCCTCTCCTCCTCGAATCCCCTTGCCTTCCGTATGTGAGCCATGCTCCCTATAACGCCCTTGTTCCGAGTGCAGTTCAGTCAATCAGCTGCTCTCCTTTTAACCTAGTAACTCCGCCTGATGGTGGTAACGAACGCATTTCCTTTCCCCGGAACAAATTCTGGCTGTTCGTTGCTGGTAATGCTCGTGTTCCGCAAATACTTCATGCGCCTTTCGAGGAAAAAGTGACATTAGGACAAATCCAGACATGGGGTATAAAACGGCGGTGAATGCAGTATCCGTGACATGATTAAGGGCCACGCTCGGGGCGTCGAGCATTTCGATTGGCCTATGGAGAATAACGTGTCGTCGTATCGTGGTATCGTTTGAAAATTAAATTGTTGTATGTGGCCTCTTGCTCGGCGGGAGCGTTTGAGGAAGTCTAAAGACTTGCCCGGGCGTAATATCGTCTATGGGGAAACAAAGCGTTCGTACTAAATGAAAAAAAAGGTAGGCAAGGCGATGGTAATGTCGAATATCTCGGCAGTCGTGATATACAGGTAGGTTATGAATGTGAAATCGTGAACATGAGCCGAACTCGATTCTCTTGGTGCTTTCGACAATCAATATTTTAACACTCCAGGCTCTCGGAATGTTGACGGATCTCGTCATCGTTCAGAGCACCCATCCAAAGGCAGCGCTCGGTAATACCTTCAATGGGCTGGAAGTCGTAGTGTGTGCTGGCCTCTAGGAGACGGAGTAGTGTTTTCACTATCGAGGCAGCGATGCGACACCGCTCAAAGTTGACCAAAGGAGCTGTGGTAGGGGAGCTCGCGATCTCGGAAGGCCGTTGCGAGGTGAACAACAAGTCATGAGTGTATATGCCAACGAACGGAATACAACCACTGTCAGCAATATTGCCACCACCTTCCATCTCCGCGCGCAGATTGTAGAAGTTCTTTGTTGGTGACACAAGCGTCTGGATGTCATTCATGGTCTTCATGTCGTTGGGAGGGACCATAGACCATGTCCTGCCGAGGCGAGCTATCTCGTTGGAAGTCAGGGCAACGGCAATCTGACTCATCGTGGCAAAATTCCTATACCTTCTGCAGTGGGCCGCGATATGGAGATATTTTATGACGCATCGAGCTCGCTCCTCCAGGTCTCGTGTGAGTACGATTTCTGAGATGACCCATTTGACCATAATGTTGAACCGCGCAATAACTACCTCGACACCTCGAGCATCGGTATTGCGAAGGAAATCCACCCAGGAACGCGAGTCATTATTGGCATTCTTCCACCGCATATCGATCAGCTCTTTCCAATCAACTTCGTTGAGAGCATCCTTTTCGATCAAAGTGAATTGCTGCGCCAGTACTTCTGAATCGAATGCGAGGATGAAGGGTAGATGGATTGAAAAGTTTCTTGTCAAGTCGTCTGATAGTGGCGGTGCGTTGCGGAGTGCTTCTTGGGTGCCGGTCGGATCGGAAGTCGACTCTATTGCTTGATGATACATCGCCGTGGTCGGTGTTGTATCGGGCGTCGGAGGCAACGGTTTGATAGACCATAACTGATGTTCGTGAAGTTCTGGAACATGCGCTGTCTCAGGCGACATCTGTAGGGCTTGCGCCAAAGTCATCGGAGGAGAAGGGGGTTCACCGCTATGATGACCAGGCGCGACTCCGACGGAAGCAGCCTTGTGTGTGGACAGCGGAGGCACTGCAGCGTACTCGTCCCTCTCAAGGAAATCGATAGACAGTTCGGATGATAGTTCAGACTCGTTGTCACTATCAACGTTCAAGAAGTTCAAATCCTCCTTGGACCGTGGCGGCGCAGTACCCCGCAGCTTGAGCTCCTCCATACTCTGAGTCTTCTTGACAATCTCGTAGGACGGATGGAGAGAAGTGCTGGCGAGCGCATCGGCCTGCTCCTCAAGTGGTGTATCCGGGCCCTCTAGGATGGAATGATTAGTCCACTCTCGTGTATTTGTCCGGCTTGGGCCATCATCGGTCAGCCCACGATCAAGCAAAGGGGTCGAATTGTACGTCTCTCGGGAGTCTTCTGACAAGAACGACACCTCAGAATGCCGTGGAATGTCTAAATGACCGTGGGAGAGAGGGTGGGTCTCTTCGATTGGCGAAATTGCCAGAGCCTCATCATCGCCAACGTGTTGTTGACGGTGTTTCCGCTTCTCTCCCTTGACGTATTCAAGTTCCGGGGTCGATATTGGTGCACCACTCAGTTCTTTGAGGTGTTTAATGGGTACCCGGATGGGCTCCATCGACAGTTTAGCAATTTTCTTCTCGTATTTACCCTCGAGCTTCAAGAGAGCCGACTCGACCCCACCATCATCGTCGACATCATCCGGGATTTGCGCCAATTTTTGCGCCTCAGCTTCAAATGACGGCCGCATGATAGGCTTCGACGAGTGCGTGCTAAATAGAGATAGCGGCCGTTTGGGGGCATGCTCTGCCATTGCCCCTAAGGAGAAGACGTCGCCACGATTATGGGAATAATCGCTACTAACAACATCGACAAAGCCACTTTGCGAATCACGTACCGGACTGCGTAAATACGAGCTCCGAAGGGACTCTGAATACGTGGTCAATGAACCCACAGATCGAGATCTATGTAGCGGTAGAGCATCCAGATCGGTCGCGTTAGCTGCACCCCTGAGGTCTCCGCCGGGCCGTCTACGAAGAACTCTGAGCGGTTGTGGCATGACTTCTGATCTAACTGAGCCTTCGGAGTATGAGGTGGCATCAAAGCTTCTAATTGTGGACTGCGCCGCAATGCCACTCTGGAAGGACGCCCACCGCCTATGAGCCAGTGAGCCTCGGGAGCGTTGACTGCGGCTAGACTGATGTCTCTTGTGTCGCAGATGGCTTAACGGGGGCTTGTTGGCTGACTGTTTGATTTCGATCGACGGACGGGTGCGAGTATCTAATTTGACACCGGCTGACACACGGTCATTGCCCAGCGTACCTAGGTCCGGAACGAATGGTGGTAGAGGCTCTTCCGTCAGCGAAGGTTGATATATATGCTGGCTGAGTATGTAAGAAGACCTCCTAGGGGTGTTCCCAGATACTGGTTGGCCCGGGGGTGTAATCGGTGGTGTCGGGTTAGCATCGCCAGTTGGCAAGACACTTTCCGCAAAGGCCTCGACTGAAGGAGTTAGGCCTGTGAAATTACCGGCCGCGGCTGTCAAGGCGCTTGTCATAGCAGGGTAATCCGAAGGAAGCGTACCGTCGACAATAACGATCGATTTGCTCCCGGATGTTATGGCAGCATCACTTGCAGGCCGTAGTTCAAATGAGGAATCCAGATGAGCAGCGGAGTAATCAAGGTTCTCTTGGGCACTCCTGGGAGGCGTGCCATCACTTCGTCCTTCAGCAGCCGCATCTTCCCGTACGGCTTTCTTGAAATCTTCTGCCACTTCAGCCCCAAGCAGGTCGATGCGCATGGGAGGACACGTGCCGTTAGGTCTCGAACGTCGTGCTTGTGGTACAATGGCTGTCCCAGGCAATCGATTTGTTGTGGCGCCTTTTGGGCCAATAGGTGCAATATCAGTCAAATTACCCTGAGTCGAAGAAAAACCCTGGCCTCTGTTCCCCAAGACCCTTCGAACACTCCCGATCAGTTTTCTCATTCCGGGGCCTGACATGGCCGAGCCAGTAGATTTTTCCTTGGCCTGTGGAGTTTGGAAAAGTGTTGTCTGCCGGTGACTGGGCATCCCGACGCTGTTGGGAGACTGAACCTCGACGAATGCCTGACCCGGGGGCAGCAGGTTACCTCGCACTAGACTACCAGCATAAGGAAGAGTAAGGAGGAATTCTGCATTCTTGAAAAGAACCTTCTCAGTTGCAGTCGCCGTGTGTTCTCGGAGCGAATCGGTGAGACTGTTATTCCGTTTGTGCGAAGTCTGTGGCCGAACACGCTTTCCTGTCAGAGCACGGGGCGTCGAGGCAACGGGGTCTGCATTGGTGTAGACAGAGCTGGGGTCCGCAGGGTGCGCTGCGAGTGCAAGACCTGCGCTGGGGTCGCCCATTCGCACTCCCTTTGTCGGAAAGGAGCACGAGACAACATCAAGACTCGCTATACTCGTAGGTGATGTCTGTTGTCGCTCGAGGTTGTTGGGCCTCTGCTCAGGTGTCGTGGGACGGGCACCACCCATAAGAATCGAGTCGATGTGCCCGGCTTTGGATATATCGGCATAGAAGCTGTTATCAGCCCTTGAATCTCGATCGGGAAGTGAGATGCCAAGGAGTTGTGGCGGCTCATCAGATTCTGTCTCCCAGAAACTAGGATCTAGGCTAGGA